AATAATTTTGTGAGTTCCAATTATTGTAATTGTTGGCTAATCTTGTTTGTGTTCGTACATTCTACAACTTACAATCGTCAAACTGAGAAAAGTTGCAGGCGTACTGGTGTAAGTCCTGCAATTCTTCAAAGGAATTACATCAAGACATGATCCGCGAGTTTGTGTGTACAGTTTGTATATACGTGTGGTGTGTCATAGCAATTGGTGTTTTTTGGATTCATTGTGTTAACTTGTTGTTTTCTTAACTTGTTATTGCATAATTTTGTTAAATTTTTCGTCGTGCTTACTTCTGAAGTTGTTTCTGGTCTTCTACATCCATGAATGAATTGATTGATGTTAAAGACAGCAGATGTGTCGTATACGCTGGGGAGGCTAATGCTGAGAATGGCATGCATACGGAGATAATGATTAGCTGTGATCCCACACGCCGGGGAGCGGGAGTGTAGACGGCCGAGGCTTGCATACGTCACCGTTACTAGGACTGAGGCAGAATGAGTGACAGGCGATTTCAGTGGTAATTGATAGTGAATAGATAAGAGGATGTGCGAAGAGTATCATGAGGTGCTGCTTTGGTCACGTTGCGTTGTGCAAGAGTCATTCTAGTACGTGGCGATTGTGTTACAAGATGTCAAGAGGATACCTTTAATTCGAAGGTGTATGTCGTCATTGATGTGTGAGATTGTGGTGTGGGTATGCTTGTGGTGTGTTGGCTTTTCTGTTTGTTTTCCATTTCAGCTCTGTCCGTGTGACCCACGTTCTCGCAATGACATCCAAAGCAACGTGTATTGGTCGTGATGGAAAAAAGGAATAGATCCTTTTTTGCCGGGGAGTGTCAATGGAGTTGAAGATTGAACGATCAATTCATGGTTGTTTGCTCAAAACCAACTTCCCCAATTTTCGCGGAGGCATCAATACACCAGTCATCGTCTCATCGGTCGCTGTTCAGAAAGGAGTCATCAGAAAACCGTCAGAAGTAATAATGTGATTTATTATTGTAATATTTGTTCATAGACCTTAGTTATTACGATGATTATATGTTGGTGTTAGAATAAAGAATTCTCAAGTGGCCCATCGGTGTTTTGGTTTTTTCGTCCGTTATTACTAAGCGTTTCTGAAAGGCTTCGATGGACAGTGAGAGGCCTGGCGTAGCAAGAGCTGGGCATTAACAGTTTTGAGACGTGATTGACATAGGCATTGGCCTAGTCCGAAACCTTTAAGTTTACTAAGGAGACCTATGTGGAATACTCTATCGAATGCATTGCAAATATTATTAAAAACCACGTCCAACAGAAGGTTTTTATCTCTGGTCCCAACCCAGTCTTCCCTAGCCAATAGCAGGTTTGTCAGACAGGGTAGTCTTGGTTGGAATCCATTCTGTTCCACAGCCAGTAAGCCATATTTTTCAACAAAAGCTAATAGCTGATACCCTATAATAGTCTCCAACACCTTTGCTATAATGCATGTCAGACTTGCTGGCCGTTAGTTAGATACCATTTGCCTGTCTCTCTCTTTGGAGATGGGGCTTATGATGGCATCCTTCCAGTCCATGAGTAGCTTAGCCTGGGTCAGAGACATTTGCGAAATCTCTGTAAGTGGAATATATATTGTATCCGCCAAGGAAATTAACAGTTAAGGGTTAAGTTCATCAGACCCAGGTGATTTACCTGGCCTCAGTTTAGACAGTAGTTTGAGGACCTTTGTGTGCTCAACCACGATTGAGGGCATCTGAGTGGCAACGGCAATGACCTCGCCATATCCATGGGTGATACGATCAGACGATAAAACGTCCCAGAAGTCTTCAGAGAGGTTTTCAGCCTTTCCTTCATCTGATTCAGCCGCTTCTCCTCTAATGCTTATGAGTGGCAGTATACCACTGCTAGTTTTGGTCCTACGTTTAATATACGAGCATAGCCTTTCTGGGTAATGAATACAAACTAGCACTAGCCGTCTCTCATACTCTATACTACCCTTGTTAGTCACACACAGAGATTTCGAATTTTCCAGTAGTCTTTCTGGAAATTTTCCCTTCCTGTCATACTAAATTGGTCCCATAAATTCTTCTTCCGTCTTAATAGCTTCCTTTTTTCACCAGTGATCCAGGGTGGCTTATGTGGTAGCTTTCGAGGAGTGTACCAAGGTATAAAAGGTGAAGTGACACAATCTAGCATATTCCTAAATCCTTCTCAAGCTTCCTTGACAGTCCGATTTGTATCAACTGACCAGTCAACTGTAGTTGCTGCATTCCGGACTCCTTGTATATCCGCTTTCCAAATGCTTGGACGAGCAGATCTTGAGCTGTGTGAGAGAATGAATCTTAAACGTAAAGGCAACGACCGTGAGGTCGCTGCTGCCAAGCGGCGGAAGGCGCCTAATGTTACCAACGCCCTCCTTCTGGCGTGTTAATACCAAGTCTAGAGTAGACGGACCATGTTCCGGGTGATACCGCGTTGGTACATGCATATGTTGCACGAGTGCGCATTCAAACACTGCCAGTTTGAGCTCCCTATTGAAACAGGTATACAAACTAGTGGAGTTCAATTCCCCTCAATTGATGTGTAGAGCATTGAAATCTCCAACAACCAGATACCTTTTTCTAGTACCCCACGCTCTACCTTGGCTGGTAGGGCTTCTATAAATAACCCCAATCGTTAAAGTGTCTTTGTTCAAGTTAACGACGACGCTTGCGGCTTCACAGGTGCCGCTGTCATGAGCTGACAACGTTGGCCTAATCCCTGTGTCATTCTGGATGTATAGAGCAACCCTCCCACCTTTCCAAATACTTAATCTGTCCGCTCGAATGCAGATGCACTCAGTTGTGTGTGAATTTAAGTCTACATCCACTAACAACGATGTCTCAGTGATATCGATCACATCAGGTTGTAGTATTTCAGGTAGTTCTCCTAATTACGCCGGCTTATTTCTAAGACTACATGCGTTCGTATAGCACACCGAAACACCTACGTGTTCATCCAGCTTATGAAAAGAGGTCTAAGCAGCATCGGTTTCCGGGACCTCACCATCCGAAAAACCAATAGCTTAAGGTCTTTTTAACCTTTCTGTAGTCTGGCCTTTAGTTCAGCCACGGCTTCTCTTCTTTTGATTCCATCTTCTAAACGCCAATCAGTCCTTATTTTTAAACTTTTATCGTTGATTTTGAACGCATAGTTGAGGCTGGTGCTCCTCTCTGTTTCGTTTCTTAAAACTATCTTAAGTAGTGATCGAGAAGTTTCCGTAGCATCAGGGTTTCGTTTTCAGATCCTGATGACCCTTATTATATGAACTCCTCTTATTTTTTTTCGGAAAGTATATCCCGGATAATGGAGCTAATTGCCTTCAGATCATCTGCATGTTGGGCAGCTGGATCTGTGTTCTCAGATCCCTCTAAATTCCAGATGATGACACTGTAACTAGAGTCTGTGGGTTTTGGAGTTTGGCTGGTGTTAACAGCCGTCGAGACCTTGTTGGTAAACTTGGATACTGTTTCTTTCCTACGTTCATTTTGCTTCTTACCTGTCGGCACCAACCAAGTGGAGTTGGTTTCTTCCATCCAGTTTTCGCCGGAACTAGAAGCCATTCGTGCATCAGACACTCTGCACTTTGGCGTGGCCGTTTCTCAGGCTAGTGTTACCATGCTGGCACTACTTATCCTTTTGGATTTCTTTTGTTTTTTGCGTCCTGCCGCAACAGATATTTGGGCACTTTGTGCTTATTTTGTCTCTGAAGCTTCAGGAGGTAACGCACTCTCAGTATTAAAACTAAGTCCTGAACTGCCATTCTTGGCTAAGGTTTCTGGTGCAAGCCTTTCGATTATATTGTTCGACAATTTCTTGGACATCAGGAGTCCTACCGCAGCTTGGATGAGGACATCCAACTGGTTGCTGCAAAATCTGCACAGTCATGGAGATGATGGCTTGCAACATCTCTTATAGGCTACTGGTGATAAACCAGCGCAAACTTTGTGGAACTATAGGCTGCAGTTGTCACACTACATCCCATCATCCACCGGAAAGTGGCAGTCCGGTCGTCCACAGTTGTTAGTCGGGCCCGTAACTCTAATTTGTTTAAACTACACAAATATATGTACTTGAAAACAGTGAGGTAAATACCAAAATGTGAATAAAATGAACAACACTTCAACTAAATAGATCAGTTAAAGTGAACTAGAAAGTTTCTGATGCGGTTTAAATAGCAAAAGCAGAATTTACTTCACAACGTAAGAAAAGCCACTCTCCTTTTTCAAAGCGCGCGGAACTTCCAGAAAAGTGCATCACAAAATAGCTCGTGAGAAAGGAAAGCTTTGGAATCAAGAGTAACCTGAATAGAATAATTTCACTTAGGTGTGAGGCAGGGGGTTAGGATCACCTCGAGAATCTTTTCATGGATAAAGGTACATATAGGTGTAACACACGATACCATTATTTATCTAGCCTATATTACCTAAGAATTACATGGGCCCATCATATCCTTCACGGTTCTCTACCCTAATGTTCCAAGCATTTAAAAAATTGGTAGAGGATGGCGCCTAAATGTTTTAACTGCAAATAAATCTCAGCGGTATATTAAATAGGTCCGAAGAACAGGCTGGCACCACAATATGCAAATAGGTATCTGATGGCTAATCGTTCCTTGTGACATCCATTCTTTTCGATTTTGAATCTGCTTAAGACTCTGGTGTATATAATACGACATGAAAAATGTACCAAAATTTGTGATATCTGTAGAAACTGGGGGTAAATTATTCGAAATCCCTAATGAATTTGTTACCAAAATAGTACTCATAAAAAATGTTTTAAGGCCATTAGTTGGCCATCAGAAGTATGTAGAATATCGTAAATTTCATAAAGAATTTCATAACACCTTTATTACATTTCCAAGTGTATCTTTTTTGTTTGTCTTATTTGTAATATACTCAATGGGCTGCTCAATTTCTTCCTATGCCTCATTTTCAAGGTCAGTTTCGCATCCGGAAAAAGGTACGGATTTAAAAGACAGCTGTTGAAATGTCGCTGTCTCGAAAAGTCAGCCCCTCGTCGAGAGTTGAAGATGATAAAAACATTAGAAAGAAGTCAGTCATCAAGAATTTTTTGGGTTCAAACAAGGGGAGACTATTCGGCAGTAACACATGCATAACTGATATTTCGTGCTGCGTCCACCTATTAGATGATACTTGTATGTCAGTTTCACTATCAGTAAGTTTTAAGATAAAAGTCTTATAATTATTATTGGCTGTCTGTGGTTTTTGAGAGACTTTTTACTCCATGTTTTTATTCATAGATCAGATCTGATCTATGTTTTTAATCATAGGGCATTGTCACATAATGACGGTGCTTATAGTCTTGCATAATTTAATGCGATCGACTGGTAATAGCGCCTTGGAATCGCGTATTGTGAGATGAGAACGTAAAAGGCTGGATTTGTTTTTAAACCCAGAATTAATTTGTATTCTGGAATCATGTTCTGCTAAGGATTAGTTCATTCTAGAGTGGGGTTCTAATTTGCATCATCCAGATAAGATAACTTATTTATTTCAAGAAGTAAAAATAATCTTATTGGAAAGGAAATCGAGAATGAGGCTCTCAAAATAAGTACACTCGAAAATGTCTTTGATTTCTGCAGCCACGGTTTTGGCCACATACTGACATTCTCCTATTCATCCCTTGGATGGATTAGTTAAAGACTATTTTCGGGAGATATTCACGCAGCACATCTGAGGCAACATTATTTAAAGACTATAGCTGACACTCGTAGAGAATCATTTTCATATCTTATTTTAAAGACTGACACAATAAGAAAAACAGTATGTGTATAAAACTTGTTATGCGTGGAAAACAGTTATATGTCCTACCAAAAGTTCACTGGTTTCATAAATATAAACTATGAATGAACTAAAAGCCAATGACCAATACGCAAGTATTTTCTATGAAAATTCAGTGTGAGTTCCAGCCAAGGGAAGACTATTTTAATATTTGAAAAGTTTTAAATATCATTAAGAAATGCAGTAAGGAAATTTTGTACACTCAGTGAATGTGGATCAGACATTCCACGATTGTAGTCCTATTTAAAAAGCTGGATCTGAACATTGTTGAATGTCTTTAGGTGATGAAAGTCTTCCCAAGAACATTGCTAAGTATCAGTCTAAGTTTTGAAAGTAGTTTGAATGCGTATATTACAAGTCGAATTGGATAGCTTTCGGTTGCTCAGATTTAATAGCATAGGGTAGTCGTATAACACCCTTGAATTTACAGAAAGCTACATATAGTAAGTAGAGTGCGGCATATCGATGTAATATTAATTTGCGTATAAATATAACCTAGATTTAGGTTCAGTTAATGCAGTGGGAACCATAAGTATCGAAGTAACACATCTTATTCCTGTAAAGTTATGTAGAAAATTTGTGTCTATAGAAAAGTTCTCACTAACTGTTACCCAGAAGATCTTAAAATTTATGGAAAAAGGACCACTAAAAAATTTGGCTAAAAAGGTTATGGCATGTAAATGTTCTTTGTTGTGATCCTTTAAGAACTGTTAAGGTCTTGATTATGCTATAGCACCACATTGGTTACTACGAATGTGATGATACTTTCCATATTTTGTTGCCCCTCTTGCTTAATACCTTACAACATTGCATACTGTGACTCCTGTGTTAGCCCTGAAAACTGTTACGCAGTACATCTGTAAATATTTAAAACCTCAAGTTACATTTATTTATCTTTGGTTTTGAATGTAGATAGTTTTAACTGCAGATAACTTGTATCGCATTATGATTCTTTCCATTTAGTATAATTTCGAGATAATTTGGAAAAGTTAGAACCAGACTTGTACAAATAACATTCACTTCCTCATACAAAGTGTCTTAACGTGACTAGTTAAGTCCGTTTATCAAAGGTTTTTATTATTTTCTGTTACTCCTCTTATGTGAATAAACATGACGGGTAAACTGATGATTAGCGTTATTCTATCTGAACCAAAATGAAGAAATTTATTCTGAATATTGTAATATAACTGGATTTGTAAATTCAATTTATCGATTTTTGGTCTTGATTATAACAATGAAAGGAAACGCATACCTATAGTTTATTTAAATTGTTATTTTCTTGAAATCTTTAGCCTTCTTATTTGGTTATAATATGAATTAGTATGCATTTTATTATTTTGTTTTGCTCTAGTTCTTCTTATTTTATGTTTCCGTCGGAAGTGATTTGTAAGATGAACTATTGTACGCTATTAAGCCTTATGTGTCTAATGAGCATTACGTAAAACAGCATTGTAATATTGTAAATGGTATATGGGTATACAGTAGCTTACACTGTGTACGCACATGGATATCTTCTAGAAAAGCAATGACAATATGTGTTAAATTTGTAGAGCTTTTGTAGAAAAATAAGTGTTAGACGATTGGAATAATGAAAACAGTTGAAAGGTAACATAAAACGAAGAACAGTCTACGTAAAATGCAGAAATTCAATTTTATTTACACGAAATAGACAAGAGACAAGACTTAGTATTTCCATAGAAGCAAGCAAGAATTCAGTCTGTCATTACTAGTCTTATTTTCTGGACATATCTCAGCTGCTCAAATTCGATTCTAAAGCATGCACTATATGCTCATCATCGATAATCTTTCTAGATATATGGCTTTGAGAGCATTTCTACTCGTCTGTCATATTTGAAGCCCTAACAAATTTTTAAGTGAATAACTATATATATGTACATCAGACTCACAACTGACACTATCAGGCTGTAATTACATTCTTCTTGTTAAATATATTAAGTGCATCGACACAATAAATTCTACATTCACACTATTAATAGAAATGAAGAATTGAGTTCAACCTCCGCATGGAATCTGTTACTTTTACTGATAGTCAGCCTTAACGCTAGCACCTCACTACTGTACTTGTGGATATTTATTTATTATTTATTTATTGTTCTCTTGGGTTCCCAGTGGAACATAGGGCTTCAGCTTCACATCTTTACTTTCTTATGTCTTCTGCTGTACTTGTCACCTGGATCCATGTTAGTCCATACTGTTTCAACTCCTCTTCACACGATTTCCTCCATGTCACCCTTGCACTGACGTCCCACTCGCCGCTTCCCTGGCGGCCTGGCTCCACTCGGGCCTGACGCGCGCGCAATATCATCCAGCAGCCTCCTCAGCGACCAGTGTCCAATCCATCCTTACTTTCTCCTGCATATTTGTTGGGCGATTTGTTCTTGTTTTGTTTGTTCCTATAGTGATGATTCTTTCCGGCCAGGCCATCTGATGTTTAGTATAGGGCGAAGACAGTTGTAGGTTGATAAAGGCCTGCAACAGGCTGTTGGAAATATTCTTTGTGACCCGCCCGCCAAGTTTCTGATCCGTATAGAAGAACTGACTGACCTGACGTCTGTATTGAAAATCCGACGGAATTTTGGTTGTTGATGCTGGCTGAGTGACGAAGATTTCCAGATTGGTTGTTTCAGGTTGATGAATGTGTTTCTCGCCTGCCTTCCCGATTCTCGCTCGATTTGACATCCTCGTCCGTTCCTCCTGCACTTGTGGAAATACAGATTCATAATGAAAATTTTTGAATGAAATGAAAAAAAGCAAACTTCAGAGTATTTTAAAGGAAACACCCTACTCTTTTGAAATAGTACTTATTTCTATACTATTGATTTAAACAAAACTGATTTGAAATTGTGTGCATAATGATAATATTATTAGTAAGAATGAAAATCATTTTTCTGTTAAGTGACGCAATCTCTTTATCATTGATAGACAGACATGTGTTTAGAGAAAAAAAATATCATAAAATATGAAGAAAACAGGTATATTTTTTAATAATTAGTTGAATTCAGTTTAGATAATTTACATTTAGTATTAGTGATGAAGATTGATTGTCATCAATGGGATTGCTTGTTTTACTGGAACTGTAAAAAAGAATTATCAGTGCACAGGCTTATCGTCTAGTAGTGTGTGTATGTATGTGTGCACAGAATAGTTTCACTTTTGTGGCCTTAAATACCTTTTGCACACACTGAGAAGAATTATTCAAAATAGTGTATATTTTGAAGCATACTGTATCATGCATACTTCAGCATTTTACTATATGGTGGGTGATTAGAGGATGATGAATATTAAGGTTTTGGCCTTCTAACATAACTTACTAATACTTGATGAGATTACGGCAACATTAGTTAGGAGTTCAGTAATTTCACACTGCATTCCAGACATAAACCAGTTGGTGGTTCTATAAGTTGGTATCTTTGCTGGTGAAAGACGGAGTTTTGTTGTTGTTAATAATGCATTTCATGTCAAGTAAAGGTATGTAATGCATTTTTTATATCGTAAAATATAAAGACTTTTGGTTTGTTGTAGAATAGTTGAATAGTGTGACAATCAGTATTACGCCTAGTGTTTCAGTCTTGTCATCATTACGGGAACAGGTTAGGAATAAATATTTAGCCATCAGCCGAGCATAAAGTAATACGGTATTATTCAAGTTTTGGTTTGTAGGGATTTGATTGGTTTCAGGATTTCATCATGAGCTGGCATTAGTTAGAGAACCATTGGAAAACCTTCAAGGAGTACTGGACAACTGTTTCGTCCTAGTTTGGGACTCTTCATCAGTACGCACACACTGGGATTCGAACCCAGGACCTTCTGGTTACAAGGCGAGCTCGTATACCATCAAATCCCTACAAACCAACACTTGAATAACAATGAGATGCTCACTAGCGACTTGCCCTGTTCAGGTAGGTAGTTGCCTGGGGTTCTAGTGAGAAGTCGTGACCAGTAGGGTGCAGCCGGTTGGGTGTGAGAACAAATACTCGCCGAAGATATTGGCTAGGGGTCGCGTTATGTCGTGAATTGGCAGGAGTTAGAATACATTGGCCAAGGGATAGGGTCAAGGTGGCTTAATGGTCTACGAGCTCGCCTTGTAACCGAAAGGTCCTGTGTTCGGATCCCGGTGAGTGCGTAATGATGAAGAGTCCCACAATAGGATGAAACAGCTGTCCAGTACTCCTTGCAGGTTTTCCAATGGTTCTCTAACTAATGTCAGCTCATGATGAAATCTTAATACAGTATTATTTACTGATGACTCTTTAATGTGATTATGGGCAAAAATTGTACTGAAAACTTCATCAGTAAATAATACCATATCATTGTTTATTTATCGTCAAATAAAAGTATTTTATGGTGAAATTA